ATATCACTCAGAATCAACAATCATATTTACAGATGGTTCCAAAGATCCAGAGACAGGGCGTGCAGGGGCAGCAGTATACATCCCAGTGAGTAATACACATATCAAGAAAAGGGTAACAGACCATGTGTCAGTATACACCACAGAGTTGTTGGCATTGGTACTGTCATTGAAATGGATAGAGGAGAAAGAAATACATAATAGTGTAATTGCATCTGACAGCTTTTCAGCATTATCGAGTATACGATCGGGTAGATCTTCATCTAGAATGGACATAATAAATGAAATATATCTAATTTTATATAAAATGCAAATCAAAGGCATAGCAACTCGTTTCATCTGGGTTCCTGCTCATGTTGGTGTGGAGGGTAATGAACAGGTGGATATTCTGGCCAAACAAACACTCAGAAGTATGAACATAGACATAGAAGTTCCACTTAGTAAAGCGGAGGTTAAAACATTCATACAGAAATATGCACAAACAACATGGCAAGATCATTGGGACCTTAGTGATACAGGAAGACATCTTTATAACATTCAAAGGTATGTGGGGGATGGAAGGAAGGTGGGGTTTAAAAGAAGGGAGGAAAATGTCATTTCTCGGATAAGAATAGGTCATACAGGTCTCAATCAAACATTAAGTATAATAGGAAAGCATCCAACCGGAAAGTGTATACACTGTAGCCAGCCAGAAACTGTTGAGCATGTTTTACTGCTTTGCAGGAAATATAGTACTCAGAGAAATGTGTTTTTCCAGACACTGAAGAAAGCAAAATTCTATGACTTGTCGCTATCAGGACTGTTAGGGAAAACATCAGGCAATATATATTGTGAGATTATTAAGTTTCTAAGAGAAATTGAGAAATTTAAAATAATCTAGAGTTTTGGTTCTTTGTTTTCTTTTGTTTATTGTTTTCTGCTTAGTCTCTTGTCCACACTCCAGTCCAGTTGGTGGCGGTAATGCACCTACAAGTTGGTTTGCCAACCGCCAATAAACACGAAAGAAGAAGAAGGAGAAGAAGTAGGTAGAGTTCCCTGTGACGATTCCACGCAGATCATTTGGTGTTAGTTGAGCTCTCTGTTTGTGTTAAGACTCCTCTGCCGATTGAAACTATCAAACTACCGGAACATTTAGCACCAGAAACAGCTAACACCGTCGGCAACCGGAACGGAAACTCTCCGGTGATGAAACGGCATTAGGACGACCGTAACTTTGGTGAGTTTGGTGTCTAAAAAGTTGTTTGACTACATTTTTAACAACGTTACCAACTGCAGTGTGGAAGTAACATTCACTCAAGCACTGTTCTTAAGTACACATATGAAGTACTTCTTGAGTATTTCCTTTAAGTGCCACTTTATACTAATACTCCAAGACAATTTAAAGGGAAATATTGTAGTTTTTACTTCACTACTTTAATGTTTAAGCTTAGGTTAGTAGTACCAGAGTGTAGGAATACTCTGTTACAGTAAAAGTCCTGCATTCAAAATGTTGCAGTAGAACAATTGAAATACTCAATTAAAGGACAAGTCTACTTGAGTGAATGTACTTAGGCACTTTACATCACTGGTAACTAAGTACATTTACTCTTTACTTTATCTTTAATGCAACTTTAAATTACATTTAAAGAGTAATTGTTGTACTTTTTACTCAACTTTATTTGTTTGACAGGTAAAGTTATATTTCAGATTGATGAATATCAATGTTCTAAGAATACTGAGGGGTGAAGTATTTTCTTTTTAAGCTAAATAAACATTTTAAACCCCTTTTTGGATCAGCTATATATAAATAGTACAACTCACTGGGAACATTTGCACTTTGACTACTTTCTAATACTTAAAGTACATTTAGGTTATAATAACAACCAAGACTTCGACTTCATAAGGTTTTGAATGCAACACTATTACTTGTAGAGGAGTATTTTCACTTAAGTATAGAATCTGAATACTTCTTCCACCACTGTAAAATATTCTCAAACAACCCGTAATGTTTGTTCATTTGGTTAAAGTACATAGGGTAATTAATTCTGAATGTACGTTTTTTTTTCAGGGGTGTTTACACATATAGCCAAGTGTATTTATACTTTTTTACTTTGTGTATATCTGCAGTCTGTGGTCCAAACACTTCTCCAGCAGTGGTTGTGGTTGTCAGGCCGTCCAGCTGGCCTCTTTTGTTGCAGCCTCACAAACTGATTAGCATGCACCGTCCCTTCGGAGCATCTGTCCCCACAGACGCTGCTATTGTTCCCCATTTGAAACTTGAAATTTGGCCCTTTTTTGTGTGCAACTGTCCACTCATTTCAAAAGCTTATAGACACCCCTTCTCCACACGCACACGTTGACCTAAAACCTGGAGAAAGTTCAGTCTAAGTGGATTAAAGCTGACATAAAGGGGAGGGTCCCAGTTCAAGCTGTCAATCAGAACTGGGTGATATGGGTGAAATTAATATGACAATATGAATATATCGTTTAATGCTGTTTTTATAGTGGGTTGCCTTGCCTGTTAAAACCCCACATCAGCTAAATGTTATTAAATATAAGATTACGTTTCTGGGTAACAAAGGAACTGTTTATCCTTTTTAAACCTTAATATATGATATCCCCTTTGTTAATGACATCATCTACTAAGAGAAAATGATCACAATATGAGATACATTATCATTTTTGTGGCTTACAACCGCTAATAGAACATCTATTGAAGGAACCCATGTGGAAAGTTAACAGCATTTGAAAAAAGTAACATCTTTTAAAAGCCTGTTTTACCGTTATGCATGATTTGACACAAGATCATTCATTTTAACAGCTAAAATGTGTCAAAATATCACTGGAAGCTGCTTTAGTGATAACAATAATTTGCCTATCCTAATTAAGACCTTTTCTGATTATTTAGGGAGTTATTTAGGGATAACAATGTTCAGTATACAATGTTTGGCTATTTTAGAACATAGTGTAGGACCAAATAAGGGATAAAAATAGCAACTTATAGTAATTGGATGATAAAATATTCAGGTGGCTGCTAGAATTACTTGCTTCAGCAGCCACATGGTCATACATTTGGATGGTAGATTCGTGGCAGTTGGATAAAAAAGTTAGTTTCAAAACCTGGACCTTATATTTTAATGTGATTATGATGATTTTAATACTGTATGATATCGATCTTTCTTTAAATCGCCAAAGTGCTGCATTATGTCTTTAATCTTTAATTCAAAGATTGATGAGTAACCCAGTTTTGTTAATCTGGATAGATGTGTCCCAATTTAGATCGTCACTCATCTGAAATAATGTGTTTAAACTGTTTACACGGAGCAGTAATGGGACCACACTATTGCCTTAATCTGCTCTTAATTGAATTATTAGTGCACACTGATTGTATTGTCCCTCCAACCAACACACATACACACCCCCCCCCACACACACCCCCTCCGCCTGTGATGGAGACAGTTTGACGGGCTTCTCCCAGACACTTCACAGCCACAGACTTTATCTGTGTGTGTTGTCATGGTTAACTGGGTTAGTGTGTGTGTGTGTGTGTGTGTGTGTGTGTGTGTGTGTGTGTGTGTGTGTGTGTGTGTGTGTGTGTGTGTGTGTGTGTGTGTGTGTGTGTGTGTGTTGGAAGTTGGCAGCACTTTGTTGTCTTTGGTCAAAGCTCTCGCTGCAGGGATTTCTCAGAGGTATTTTTGGAAGACAGAGTCAGTCCTCTGAACTCCACTTCAGATAATGTTCATTAAAGTAACTAAGTACATTAACTCTGGTACTGTGTGTGTGTGTGTGTGTGTGTGTGTGTGTGTGTGTGTGTGTGTGTGTGTGTGTGTGTGTGTGTGTGTGTGTGTGTGTGTGTGTGTGTGTGTGTTGCCTGCTGGGGGTTTCCACTTCAGGGCAGGTGTGAAAAGTTTAACTCACCCGGCTGATGATGCCCTTTCAGTGAGAAACTGCTCTGTATTTGGTAGGTTGTAGGTCAGTTAATGTTGGAATGAACTCATTTCCAGGTGTATATCAGTATGTAGAGTCTCTACATACTGA